TCATTGAAAGTACATAGAAAAGATTTATTATATCATTGCTATTGGGTGCTTCTAGTTGGCATGCAATGCTGCTTTTCATTGGACCTGAATTGCTGCTAGCGCTGGAAGATTGACACTCACAATAACTGCTTCTTTTTATTTGTTTCCTTTCTGGTCGATATCTAATCCCATAAGTGAAGTGTACTTGTCATATGTATGCTAGAAGAAAAGTGAAAGTAATGAGGCTTTACTTGCAATTCTGTGATTTTCGTAGTTGACGGCCGTCTTCCCACTCGGTCATACAGCAGCTTCCTGAGTGTAGCTTTTTTGATGTCTCAAATGGTGTCATTAAATCATTTACTTTCTTCCTTAGAATAAAATTGACAATGACTATGCTTTCACTTTAAATATCTATTTGCTTTTCACTGACGTGTAGTACTTATTTTTATTTAAACCCTGAAAACGCCTCTACAGAAACGAAAACTGTCTCTCCACAGAAAATCAGACATGACCTTTTTGAAAATTTGCATGGCAGCTGCCTATTGAATAGGCTCAGTTTCTACCACTCTTGTCTTGATTTCTCGCGCGTCTACTTTTCCTTTCACTTTTCATCTCATATTTCTTCCCCATCCCCTCACTGTAGGGTCGCAAACCGGATGCTACAATTTTGGTCGATTCTCCTGCCGTACTCTCGTTTTATTGTCTATCTCTCTCCCTCTCGCGCATTTGTCGCGTGTGACACCGCAGTTGTCAGTCGCCGCCGCCGTCACTGGTGTCCGTAGCCACTATCACCCAAAATAAAGAAAGAACTCAGTAAATACAAAAAAACACCAAGGACACATTGGGATTTGAACCGGGGTGCCCAGCGTGCCGGCCCACTAATCTATCACTGAGGCACGCCAGTGTTTGGAACTCGTTTGTAAACTGGCCTTAGGCAGGCGTGATGTCGGGGAAGCAATCGCGTCAACATAAGTAATAAAGTGATTTAGAACGGCAAAGGAACAACCAGGTGTCACACAACGCGTATTACGCATTGAATGCGTCCTCCACTCATCTTATCCTTAATCCCCTATGTACTGTCCACACTGTGTCCTGCCAACGTCTTTGGTGTCGCTTATTGTTTTAAATCTTCATCAATCTTCGGTACCTGCTTCGTTCTTCGTTGGTGTTACGATGTTTAAACAATGGCAGCTTGTCGTCGATTCCAAAAACTTTGTAGGCTGTTAATCTTGGAGTTTCACCGTGTGCAGCAAAGTGTGGCTGCAGCCGGGGCTCGCTGTGTATGTTCTGATGTATTGTGTAACGGCCGCTTTTAGACAGCATTTTTACTCTCTTTTAAACGTTCAATACAGGGTTATGAGTGCCTTGACGTCACGGATGATCCTTTCAGCCATTACATTGGCCTGAGGGTGAAAGAGAGCACAACGGCATAGCGTAACTCCTCGGCTGTCTGCCCACTGCGCCAGCTTCTTGCTCAAGAATGCCGGTTTATTGTATGATATGACCACTTTCAGCTGTGAGAAAATATCGGTCAAGCTGAGCTATAATGCCAGTTTCTTATTCTTGACCTGGAGGCGCCGCTACCATTCTCGTGCACTGATCCATCATAATCAGAAAAAAGTGTGCCTTGCAAACTCCAGTACTTTTCTTTTTCGATTTCGCAAAATCCACGTGCATACCCTCAAAGGGTTTCTCTGAGTGGTTTGGCAAAATGAGCTCGTTGGGTTGGGGCTGGTATTTGGCTTTGTTCGGCTGACACAAGGGGCATGACTTGACATCATTTTCAATGTTCTTTATGTTTTGTTTTTCATGTCATTGTCTGAAAATTTTGTTCTAGCTCCGCCAAAAACCCTCCTGAGCACCTGATTCCGCACTGTCGAGGTAAAAGTGAAGTGATATTTTAATAAGTGTCTCTGTAACAGTGAACTCGCCATCCTAGAACTGAAGATTTTATAGCCTTCCCATAATCTTTTTTACAGTTTTATACGGGACCTCGATTGCTAATGGATACAAGTAATTGACGTCTGTAAGATGGCTACCTGCGCGATGAAAGAAATCAAAGTCGTACTGCTGAATTTATCGACCCATAGGGCCAATTTCCCTCAGGCTCTGAAATATTAGAAAGATGCATCAGTGGATGGTCTTCTGTGTAAATTGCAAACTTTCTCCATCTTTGTATGATCGAAAGTAGCGGACCGCCATCGAACCGGGAGAGCCCCCTTCTCAGTTGTCGAATAATTCTGCTTTGTTCGGTTGAAGGTGTAGGAGTGTTATCGTACAACCCTCAGCTGCCGAGCTGGTGGTGAACGGACGTCACTGTGGCACAGAGCAGCCATTGTACCATAATTTGAAGCGTCCGTTTTCATCTCAAAACTTATGCTGTAGTCTGGTAAGATAAGAACAGGGTCCGATAAAATGCGTTGTACGAGTTTCTGGTAAGGCCTTTCAGATTTCTTGGTCCAAACAAAGCGCATTTCTTTCTTTCTATGTTCCGTCAAGCACTTTGCCACCTTCGAGAAATCTTTCATAACACCCCTGATGTGGCCCACGAGTCCTCAAAACTCTCGTAGTGAACGAATATTATGAGGCTTTGTAAGCGTCGTAATCCTTTGGACGGACTTCTATTCAGTACTCTTGGTAGTTCCGTTGAATACTCTTCTATAGAAAACGATTTTTGACTTGAAGAATCCGCTCTTCTCATTGATCCTCAGGTTCACGTCACCAATGGCTTGTATCACTTTTCGAAGGTGTTCAGAGTGTTCTTCTTTTACCCACCAGCAGACAAGAATATTATTATTGTAAACGTTACAAAAGATTCCTTTCATCATGTTCTGAAACCAGGCTGGCAAATTTTCCAGCCAAATCAAAGTATGTTGTTTTCGTACACGTCAAACGGGGTAATGAACGCGCAGGATCTTTCCGTTTCTTCTTTTAGAGGTACTTTCCGGAATCCTTTAAAAAGGTTGAGACGAGAGGAATCTTTCCAGCCTCCGGTTTCATTAATAATTTAGTCAACTAGGCGGCATCGGAAAAAAGGAAACGGTCAGTTTTTTTTTATTTGTCTGCAATTGGTGCAGAGACAAAATGTTCCGCCCTCTTCGTGTGCTATGTTTATGGGCGATGCAAAACGAGACGTAGAATGCCATATGACGCATCAAGCATTTTCAAGAATTTTCTATAGCTCTCCCTTCAGCCAAAGCTTCCTTTTTCTCGACATGTTATAGGCCTTCCACTTCACCACTTTGGTATCTCGCCACTAGAATGATAACTGAGAAACTTTGATGTGGCTTTTGGGTATCCGCCTAGGCAAAGCAGTTGTTGTTGTTGTTGTTGTTGTTGTTGTTGTTGTAGTTGTTGTTGTTTTCTTTTGCACATGGCGCGTTCCCTATGAAGGAGATTGACCGACAATAAGGTGAAACAATTAGGAATACATGCGAGCGACATTTTTGCGGCAATGGACTTACGGTTATGATCAACGACGGCTGTGAAGATGGGTATGTGAAGGTCATGTTGCGTGGTAGGTTTCCCATCTCAATAGAGATTCAAGCGTTGTTATTGCGTAACTGGACAGGACAGAAGAAGCTAGCATTTCATTCCGTGAAGGAACAATTATTATTACTACGATTATTTTACATGGACACGTAATAAGGATAACTAATCATTTATAATGCACTTCTTTCTTTCCATCATGCCCCGGTGCAAAGACAGGGCAATCCTTCCTTGCATTCGACTCTGGAATCAGGCTCTGGTTGACTACAGATGCTCACCTGTCAACGAGAGCTTTCACGTACTTTTCATTACCTTCCGTAGACACGTACACCAGCTTGGCCTGATCAGTGAGCGAAATTATTTCTTGTATTTGATACAAGGCTTCGTCAGACGTTCCTTTCATTAAAACATGCTTGTTTTTTTTCTCTCGCGTTGTATTTTTCAGATGAATCTGGCTTGTTGAACGTATGTTGCCATCCGAGAACTTTGAGTGTTTCAGGCATGCTCACTGCTGTCGCCGCAAAATGTACTCTCGAACCAACAGTTTGATGTTGTATAGTACCGCCTCTGGCGCTTGAGGTATTCCAATATGAGTGTGGTGCTGACTGTATTTAGGAAGTCGCCTCGCCACAGTGGTCTAGTGGCTAAGGTACTCGGCTGCTGACCCGCAGGTCGTGGTATAAATCCCGGCTGCGGCGGCTGCATTTCCGATGGAGGCGAAAATGTTGTAGGCCCGTGTACTCAGATTTGGGTGCACGTTAGAGCACCCCAGGTGGTCGAAATTTCTGAAGCCCTCCACTATGGCACCTCTCACATACATAAGGTGGGTTTGGGACGTTAAACCCCACATATCAATAATTTAGGAAGTCTCTATATTAACAGACACACAAGTGATGAGTTGGAGGAAGCAGAATGTGCCGCGTGCAATAGACCTCATTTCTTAAAAATGTAGTTGACAACCGAACTCAGAAAATATTAGGGTCCGCACTCTGAAAACTGATTTCATAGAAAGCTGACAAAAAGTTCTGCCTCTAATCTGCGCAAATATGTCCGGCCTTTTGCTGTTGCTCGTATCTCGTGCCACGTCTTCGCGAGACCTCCCAAGTACGAGGGCATATTCATTACATTAGCACGATCGTGTAGTCAAGAATTTCTATCTCACGGATATTCATAAAAGTCAAGCCAGACTTGAACACTCATTGATGATGACTCATCGTACACCTCTAGCTGAACTATTTTTCTTGATGTTTTTTTTTATATCGGTCAGTGTACGCTCGCGTTATAAGCTCCAAAGATATTTTGCCGCTTGCTGTTTTCTTCACGCAGCTTGATTACAAGTTCAAAAATATCAATACTCTTTAAAACATAGTTTGTGTCAGTGAAAGTGACATCTGCTTTTGCGAGTCTAGCTTCCTGTGGCCTGCCTTCGCTACGCCACTCTGGAGCATGCGCGGTTGCCGTTTCAAGTTCGCGGTCACTCATTGTCGGAAAGGTGTCGCCGAACACTCAAAGCTCACGCGAACAAGTCGTACTTCCATCAGAGATACACCATACAACGCTCACCGTCTTTACGTCCTCCTCCTGGCTCGCAGCAATGTAGACGCACACTGTCCTCTGGAAGTTCTGGCTACTCGGGGGCGTAACACAGCATCCTGTCAACGGCTGCGCCAAGTTTGTAATGACACCGAGAATGACAGAGCCTGCACGGTCGCCGTTACTGTTCATTTCATTTCTTCTTGTTTTGTTTGTTTTACTCCGCCTCCAAGAACTGAACTTTTGTCTCGTCTTTTCTGTACACATTTACATTGCTTTGAAGCCAGAGGAGCACCCTGTCACTTAAGAAAAAATTGCAGCATATCCACAGAGTGAATGATGGAGAGTGGGGCGAATAATTCGTCCGTCCATTCGTTCTTGCTTCCGTCCGTCCATGCGTCCGTCTGTGTTACCGTCCATGCGTCCATCAGCCCGTCCATGCGTGCGTCTGTTCGTGCGTCCGTCCCTGCATTCGTCCATGCAGCCGCCCCTGCGTCCGTTCATGCGTCCATCCATGCATCGGTCTATGTGTCCGTTCGTCAATCTATTCAACACTCCATCTAGCGGACATTCTAAGGACTAAACGAGAGGTGGCACACGCACACTTTCTTACGGCTTGCACTTCGGGTCCACTTCCCACCTTTAACCACCTCGAGTTCATGGTATATACTAGTTCACTGTATTCATGGCTCTGCGGCCGAACGCTTGCTAAACCTTTCGAAAACCAAGGAGGTTACTCCCAGCGAGTACGATGTAGCAAACTTTTTCAGTCAGATAGTGCTCAATGTACATGCCAATGGCTGCTAATGGGAAATGAGAGGCGGAGAATTCAGCTTTTACTTTTCTTACGGCTTGCGCTTCGTATCTACTTCCCATTTTTTAACCACCTCGAGTTCATTCATGGTATATACAAGTTCATTGTATTCATGGCACTGCGGCTCAACGCTCGCTAAACCTTTCTAAAGCTAAGGAGTTTACACCCAGCGAGTATAACGTAGCAACTCTTTCTTGTCAGATAGTGCTCAATGTACATGCCAACGGCTGCTAATGGTGATCGCAGCCTGCGCGTTAACTAAAAGCCGAATGCTCCTGTCTCTCATTCTCCATTAGCAGCCATTGACATGTACATTAAGCACTATTTTTTATTGTTCAACAACGCACAGAAGAAGTCTCTCACCGGCACCACCTTGGAGGTCAAAATGTTATACTTGTTACATACTACAGGGGACGAACGGGTGCCGCTATAAGGAGTTTCACCCCTCAAATTTCAAGAAAAAATCACAGGGTAAGGTAAGGTGCATTAGTTTCCCAGATAGCCTCATGCATTGATTGCGTCTAGCTTAATGCTTTACCTAAAGCGTCTTTGAGGGGCTATATATGTTATATGCTATAAAAACACCTGTTGCTCATGTGACAGGGTGCCAATATATGATTGATATGTGGGATTTAAGGTCCAAAAACCACCATATGATAATGAGAGGCGCCGTAGAGGAGGGCTCCGGTAGTTTAGACTACCTGGTGTTATATAACGTGCACTTAAATCTGAACAAACTGGCCTACAGATTTTCGCCTCAATCGAAAATGCACCCGCCGAAACCGGGATTCGATCCTGCGACCCGAGTACCTTAGCCACTAGATAACCACGGCGAGGCGGCAGGGCACCAACTGATCACTGACACTGTGTATTTGAACAAAAAGACGTTGAATATTTTTCAGGGCTACGTTAGCAGAATGGACAGTTATGGGCGTATTTACACTGATAGCATAAATTTGCATGTATTTTGCGTAGGTTTATTTTAAACTGATAATAAATATTGCTACTGAACCTGAACTGTGGCACAGCTAAACCAGTGCATGGTTGTAACACCAGTGCTCTTATCATTTGGTGTCCTACAGTGCTACGCTGTGTTTAGAGAAAGACGCTGGTGTAAATGGAAATCTGCGATAATCATTGATGACCGATGATAATCGTGTTTGGACGATTGTCAACTGTCAAAATTGTGGTTATCCAGGTTCCCCAAATGGTCATTTTTGTATTGTTAAGGTTGTATGTTAGTAACACGCAAAAAAACCCGTAAGATTTTGAACTGGTGTACTGTGCTTCATAAGGAATCGAATACTTTCCTCACGTACAGTATTAAGAAGCTCGAAGGGTAGACCAGGTAATAAAATATTCTTCATGCATTATTCCGAAGAAGGACTAACGTCCGTCGACTTGCATTCAGGCACCCTATTGCCGCGTTCACTGATCATTAATAGAGCCCATTAACACCACTTCTTGTTACAGAGACACACCAGTAGAATAAACTTGGCATATCAGGCCGCCTTAAACACATCTCTGTTGGGAGTGGGTTCCACTGTATTTATGAAGCCATAAAAACAGATAAAACACTTACATTCTACTAATGCAAGAATTTCCCTGCACAGAACCTTGAAGGGATCATGACATGGTCACCCAACAATTTGCAGTTTTCGGCGGATAATGAAGGTAGCTTGCCGACTATGCTTGTACACGTGTAAAAATTGGACTGTGAAAAATTATTTCTGGATAAACTAAGATGTTAAATTCTCCAGCTCTAAACTCCGCCCACCACCGGTGGCTGCCAATTCGCCGTGGCGTGCGTGACGCCACAAACCGATGGGAGCAGTGCCGTCGTCTGCTACAAAACGGCACCCTCGACACGTGGTCAGTGTGTTCACTGTGTTGCGAGTGTTGCTAGCCGCGTGGTCCACACATGTCACAAGTGTTGCGAAGTGGTACCAGTACCATCGACATGTCGTCGGCATCATCATCAGCTCAATATTCGGGCAATAATTCATCGAGCAGCAGAAGCGGTGACGGCTTCGTGTACGCTGCGCATTTTAATTTCGACCCTATCGCCCCTAGCCCGAGCGACGAAGAAAGCGTCCAAGACGGGGCAAACCCAGATGCCAACAACCTCGGGGATGTGGCAGACGTTGCCGATGGCCTTCTTCAATAGTAAACAGCTTTTTTCAAGCGTGCTGCAGGTTGACAAACGAGCTTAACGATTAGGAGACGCTGCATTCGGGAGCACTCTTTGCGCAATGGAATAGGTAAAGCGTGCAAATTTTTGTTCGCTAGAACACGTGCACGCACGACCTAAGAAGTAGTCGTAAGAATGCTGCGCGTACGGACCGCTGCTTTTGCGTCTTTTGGTATACGTGCGGCATGTATGTAAATATCACCTGAAGTAAACGGCATGTACTCAGTGCGACGCTGGTGCTACGCTATAGCACGACGCTAGGACCCTCCCTGCTCTGTACGCTCTGGCACCCACAGCACAGCATGAGCGACGTGGTGGCATTGCTTCCCCCACTGCAGGTCATTCGGTTCCAGTGGCACGTTGCACAACACTGAAACAACTCGGTTGCAAGTGCAACTGACCATGAAAACCGGTCGCCCCCCGTACTTCACTCCATACAGAAGCTCGCGAAGCAAGCAATTCATTACGTCACGGCTAGCGAGCGTGCCAGTGTTGCCCGACCACTAGGCTGCTCACTCGTTTATAAAGATATTCGGGTACAAGTTACCGGCACGACCGAATTCACGGAAATTTCCCCAGCTTGTTTGTAAACGTGCAAACACCAACCCACACAACAGAGATTATGGTCGAAAATTGGGTGTCATGACCCCTTTAAGCAACGTGAGGCAAGCTTCATCAAGCACGGCCGCCGCTTTGAAAGAGTGTCTTTGTGATGTTACGTCATGTGTAGAGAGAAGTAGGAAGAAAGAAAAGTAGGCTTCAGGGCTTCTCCAGATCAATTTTAATTTTCTATTGCGTCGATTGTTCAATTACACGCAATATTTTCGCGCAGGCCTACAACGTTTCTTCGTTTTCTTCAGGTAAGTTACAGGTGGACCGTTTCTGCGAAAACAAATAAACAAAACAAGATCAGTCAGCATTCTATTTAAGAATAACTCAACAAATTACGCCGCGGACGTTGCTTCATAAATTTTGTTATAAACATACTATTGTGTAGATCGAAAAATACCACGAACATAATTGAAACACTGCCTCCAATGCAAACTAACAGAGTGTCCTAACCAAGGATGTTATAAAAAATTTTAAACCTCATTGGTCCTAACCTGCACAATACAATTTTAGTAATGTTTAGAGCTCACTTATATTTGCTGCTGAGGATAGTAAAATATGTACTCACACTTCTTCTTGCGGAGAAGGGCACCGTAGTGGAAGGGAGAGCCGAGACCATAGCTATAGTTCAGGCCATAGCTGAGAAGACCGCTACCGTAGGCGTAGTGGCCAGCGCCGTAGCCGTGGGCGCCGACTCCGTAGCTGTAGACTGGAGTGGCGTGGTAGGCAGCGACAGCTGGAGCAGTCGCGTAGGTGGCGACTGGAGCGGCAACAGCTGTGGCGACTGGAGCGTGAGCCACGGTGGCGACAGCTGGAGCGTGGTAGGTTGTAGCAACCTTGGTCACGGCGGGAGCAGCGGCGTAGGTAGCGACTGGGGCAGCAGCGTAGGTAGCCACTGGAGCGTGAGCCACGGTGGCGACCTTGGTCACAGCTGGAGCAGCAGCAACAACTGGAGCAGCAGCGTAGGTGGCTACTGGGGTCGCAGCGTACGTTGTGACTGGAGCGTGAGCCACGGTGGCGACAGCTGGGGCATGGTAGGTGGTAGCAACCTTGGTCACAGCGGGAGCAGTGGCGTAGGTTGTGACTGGGGCAGCAGCGTAGGTGGCCACTGGAGCGTGAGCCACGGTGGCGACCTTGGTCACAGCTGGAGCAGCGGCAACAACTGGAGCAGCAGCGTAAGAGACGACTGGAGCGTGGGCAACGGTGGTGACGGCTGGGGCAGTGTGGGCGACAGTGTGCACAGCTGGTGCGTATCCGGCATAGCTAAGACCGTAGCCGAGGCCATAACCCACGCCGTAACCGGTGTATCCAGCGAATGCGCTGGTGGCAAGAACCAGGAGGATGCACGCACGTATCTGAAAGGTTAGGCGTACTTACATTAGGGCTCTCGCCACCTCGGATGGTTCTTGCATGTGTAAGTTAGAAAGAATCTCGTCTTCAGAATTAGTATAATTGACATCCTCTATTTCTTCAAGAAACAATCATGAAAGAGGTGTGCAGAAAGCCCTTACACTGTCAAGAATTGACGTAACATTAAAGATTCATTCACTCCCACTTGATGTGGATTATACAATCTGGATGTGTCCGGTTTTCTGTACACCCGCCTCCACCATCTAGTTGTGACTTCAAATTTCTGTTGCATAGGAACTATCTAGATCAGAAAACAGTATTTTGCCACCAGTGGCTCGGGGGGGGGGGGGTGCTTCGCAAACAGCGTTGCTTACGAAATCACAACGGCAGCCAGCACTGGCTGTGATTGTGCGGCAGCGAGGTAGTGATTAAACACGTTCTTGGTAATTGTTCTCACAGCAGCTACCAGGGACAACTACTGTCAACAACGCTAGTACACTTCCATGACCAGAGACTTTCCGGGCATACAATCTTGCGGTTCTCGAACATTCGAGCTTCCAACTAGAATGCGACGATTTTGTTGTTGAAGTTTCTACGGACAAGCGGCCTAGTTAAAAGACTTTAACACTCGCATGCTTGAATGTGCTTGTGTCTTTCTGGAGAGCCTCTAGGTTCCCGTTCCTTCGTTGAACGAATGCGGCGTCGTCGGCATAATCGTACAGCGAAGAAAGACAAGAGCGTGGAGAGAGACTGCCACAAAAAGATTTCCGATACGATAGCAAACGAGGTGTGGAGTTGACGGCACGCTTGCGTGTTTGTCTTCGCGGGAGTATAACCTGGTCATGTGTATTAGCAATTACCACAAAGAAAACCATACTCGCTTCTCATCTGCCATGTCTTGCACAAAAATATCTGATATGCGATCGCATGTCAAAGCGAGGTCACTATACTTACCACTTGAACAAATGTGCGCAGCCCATTTACCTCCCGTGTGGGCGCTTTCGCTGTGATGGTGGAAGCCGGAACTTGCGCTCTCACCAGCTCGAAGAGCATTCGGCAGGTCTGACTTCTTTTTAGATGCAAATCATCGCTTGCTCGGGGCCATTCGCAATGTTCATAAGCTGTCGCACTGCCTAGCGGAATGCAGGAGCGTCCTCTCAAGGATCATCAAAAGGCTGACGCTCCCAACGCTCCCTTGTTCGGCGGTGCTAGCCTCAGTGTTAACGCGTTATCGAGAAATAAACACAAACCACTTTGTATGTTGCGTGCATCAGTGAATATACCGGACCGTTCGTGACACTACAAATCTGAATCGTTCTTGTGAGAGGAGAAGTTTTCGTGAAAATACGTGGCAACTTCCACTTTCGATTATAGCCTGCAGAATACACATATAGCTTCGCGAGATTTTCTGCAACCACGTTGGATAGTTCAATCGTATTGTCTGACCTTTGCAGTTGAAACTCATCTTGTTTTAAGTACGTATAGCATTTGCCAGTACTTTTGTAGTGCATGAATTTTATAGCAATCATTGCAAGTGGAATATAGCTCAGGCACACGATTTGCGCTTTTACACCTTGATCTACGCTGCGCCGCTTGTTTTAGACGTTCGTTGTTAGATGGCAGCACACTGCAAGCGATTCCTTTCTTGCCTGGTGTCATAGCAAATTGTTCTCCGCACTCCCAGATAATTGTAGTGAGTGACGCCGTGTCGGGGTTCTGCAATGACGCGTTGTTGGTGCTATCGAAGTCGCTCGGCAGAGAGAATTCCTCAGATTACTTCCAGCAGGGATGTTCAAATAAACTCTCTTGATGTCGAGGACTTTGGACGTAAATGGTTTTCAACGCGCTGAGAGTGACCGCGAAGATGAACGATCAGTTGTTAGCTCACGAGCAAGGAGTTGCACTTCACGTCTTGTCGTGCGTAATGTTTTTTGACGCTCGTAAAATTAAGTGTACGTTGATTGCATTTATTCTATATTATTCTTTAAGAAGCTCAAAATAAAAGCATACTTTTTATTGTGCATTGAGCGTATCCCAATTATGGTGGATAATATATAGCAAAATGGAAATCCAAATTATGAAGCGAAATGGTTAGTGCACTGATATACCGAGTTACGACTACAGTCCACACTAACTTCTCCTGCACTTCACTGGTGCCATCTAAATGACGTTGTTGTTCGGCAAACTTTCCCAATTTCGATGTTATGAAAAGCGTACGCGGGTCGATATCCTTGTTTCGACCGCGCTGATAGAACCTGCAACATCCTAGTGAGGGGAAGTGCGCACTGTTAGAATCTAATCATGACTTTGACTCAAGCGCTACTTAATGGGAAGTTAAATGTCTGTGTTCCTTCAAAGAAGAAGCTGCATGATGCTTACAGCGCAAGTAATGACAACGGCATAATATGTTTGCAAACCATCGCTGCGGTAAACCTTCGGTCCTGTGCAGCCGAGACGGCGCGCTACTCGCTAGTGGCCCTACTGCGGCAAATTTGGCAAGCAGGCTTGGCGCAAATGATGTAGGAGCGCCGTTCAGTTCATACGTGAATTCTAGTTCGCGCAGTTTTCTGTGGCACGCACAGGATTACGCGAAGCATTGTTGATACACGGACAATCAGCTGACACCACCACCCTCCGCACTGCGGCGAGAAATGAGGTAGCGAACAGCTAGCAGTTCTTATAGTTTGGGAAAGTAGTTTGGTACTATATACACTCATTTGACGATCAAGAGTTCATCCAATAAAAACAGCACGGGGAGTACGCCTGTGGGTCCTATCTTTTCCTATGTGAGTTCAAGGGTTGATCTCTCCGCAGCCATCTTGGATTGCACGGCGCGCCATCTATAGGCCGTGGACATTGCGAGTATCCCGCGGCGCAGCTTCCGCATTCACACTACCCGTGCGCAGCGCACCCCACTCCCTCTCTGCAACAGCTACGCATTACTCTCTCTACTTCTTTCGTACCGTTTCTTGCTCTCTCTCCCACCTCTCTCTCCTCTGAGAATCGCTCCCAGCGGCATTAACTCCCCTATGAAGTAGGACCGTGAAATAGGCACAAAGTGAGTTAAACTCCCCTTGGTTTCAACATTCAGTTACGTGCATTGCGACATTACATGTGATTACGGATTGGACGCCATTTTTCAAAATTCTTTGACCAGCGCTCCCATTGGTCTGCGGGCATTGGTTCGGCAGCAGACGCCGCAAACTTTGGTCCGAGAGCGATCGGCGCGGAGAGGGCCTTTTCGGCGGATCTCGCCGCTGCCGAATTGGATTCGAAGCACTTTCGGCGACCGGAGTGCTCAGTGTGAACTCGCCCTAAGCATTATCACCCACTGCTTCGCATCTACAGCGGGTTCCTTTTAGCGGGAGATGGCGCAATTATTGGCGCAAAAAAATTAAGAATGATAATGCTTGAACAAAATTGGCATCCTTACAGCAACATAATTCTTTTTATAGGTTTCGTCATTCCGAGCCTTGGATTGTTAACAAAAACAGAACTACATACGGTGACCAAATGCTACAATCCTGTTTACCTACTGTGTTAAATCAACTACACAAAGAAAATGGTCTCAGTGTATCAACTCTGTCGCTAAAAAAGCTACGCGACGTATTCATCTGATTGCTTGTGCTGCTAAGGGCTTATTTGTTTGTGCTTTTCTCTGTCTTTAGCACTTCGCTTATTTTTTCCCCTTTTTTCAAATGTTTCTATAATGACCTTGTTTATTTAATACGACCATGGATGTTTACTGTTTTTGTGTTTTTAAGTTAGTTCATTCATGATGTATACCATGTTTTTGTGTGACCGCTGTGAAGCTGCTCAGTGTATGAGGTGGCCAGGTACCCCTCAAGCTGCTCAATGCAGCTTTTTTGCCTGGTCATCCTCGCAACTTTGTTGTTGTGAACAAACAGTAAACCATTCAATATTTTCTTCAGTGGCGATGCCTCTCTGCGCATGGGCCCTAGCGAGTGGGTTCACTATCGAGCCTTGGAAGAAGAAGGCGTACGTTGGTTGAATTGATGTTTTGGGCGTGAAATGCTCTACAAGATTCTTGAGGAACCCGTATAGTCCGGCGCTGAGCTTGTGACAGCTAGTGGCGGCGGACGTTGGCGGTGCCAGGTTCATCAATCATCACGTTACATCGATGCGAAAATGCACCCACACTCGCGCCTCGCCTGGCTGCCTTGAGGCCTGCGCCTCTGATCAACTTATCGAGACCACCTAAAGAGGTGAGCTGCGAATTCGCATGAGGCATCATCGTAATAACGGGTGAATACTTTGCTTTGAACTTTTTCAACCCATACATTTTTTTTTCTTTGCTTACCTTCCCGCCCCTTTTACCGCTTTCGCCGTGCCGGGTAGCCAATTGGATATTGTTCCTATGGTGAGCCTCCCCGCTTTTTCCTCAACATTTATCTCTCTAACCTGGTCTTTGCGATCTAGTTAAACAAGTTGTTCGCTGGTTTTTTTACGAATATTGCAATATTACACATGCCTCATGTGCCACCTGAAGTTTACGAACACGACGCGCAAGCGGCTTCCGGTACACAAACCTTTGCTTCTCGACGCTCTAATTGCCGCTCATTTTCGCCTTTGACAAGTCTTCGTTCTGTGTCGCCTGTGCGTCGACGCCCCACGTTCATAGATATGGTCCCACTGGTGATTGTCTTGCTCCTTCACTACTACTTGGGTAAAATTTAACCTTAAGCTTAAAATGCAGGGCACATCCCTTGCGAAGCAAATTTGGTTTTGAACACTGAGTATGTACGCAGCGGTGCTCCATGCAAACGTAGTTTTTTTTTTCAAACGCTTCAAACGATGGTCACTAATTAATGTAATATTCGGGCGTTGAGCCATCGAGAGAAGAAAATTTTTCTCTTCCGAAAAAGGTTTCATTGTGATCCAGGAAATGTCACAACAGTTTTTTTAAGGACTGGACTACTCTTAAACATACTGGTTAGTGTCCAGGAAAGATCTGGCATCAAACGAAAATGTTAGCCGCTATGCTTATGTCTAGAGATTGCAGGTTGGAGTGCTCTTTCAAAATGCGCTAGCTTTTTGAGTTACTGAAGCTAAATTGCTTTCTTTGGGAAGACAAGAGAGGAAAAGCTTTCTTACCATGGTGACTTTCGAGCTGCTGTTGAAGCGATTGCTGAATGTGATGCGTTCGCGGGCGCTTTTATACCCGTAATGTTCCCACTAGAGTAAGAATTTTAGGCGAGTGCGAAATGTCAAACTGTACTGAAAAGCAAATATAATGAAGTTCGTGAGTTGTTTTGAGATTCCGGACGTCGCTTCACGGCAGAAGAACCGGCATTGCCTGACACGGTGTACGTTGGTTGAACTGTAATGAAGCACCACGCCCTATCCTTGACGATGGCGCTACTGGGCTTTTGCATCAGGCAAGATTTATGAAGAATTCAACAGCCGCAAGTAGCTAAGATAAGTAAATGCTTTTCTCATGTGTTGCGATGAAAGATAGGAGTTCACACCTAAAAACGTCACATCAATTGATTTTATTATGACGTCATATGTTTTATATATCTTTTTCTATATTTAACATGACGCCATATATATTTAACGTGACGCCATATGAAGCCATGAGAAAAATAATTCTTTAAATGAAAATATGCGTGATGTGTGCACTGGCGCTGCCTTTCATCATATGACAAAAGCAGTAGTGCACAGAGCGAATCGGCACACAATGTGTAATAAATACTGTTGTGTTTCATAGTTCGAATTATCCCAACCAAATTACATCCGAGGCATAAACTTCGGCGACATCTATCTATCTATCTATCTATCTATCTATCTATCTATCTATCTATCTATCTATCTATCTATCTATCTATCTATCTATCTATCTATCTATCTATCTATCTATCTATCTATCTATCTATCTATCTATCTATCTATCTATCTATCTATCTATCTATCTATCTATCTATCTATCTATCTATCCGCTACGACTTTGTACTGTTCTGGCGGCTTCGTTAGTGGGATGTACACGAAATTTGGTATGGCAGAACATGACCGCATGGCAAACGCAAATGAGAGCTCATAGCATGAAAACCATAGTATGCGTGTCATTAAAGACATGATATAGATGTCATAGGCCGGACTGCACGTGTAGACATTTCCCTAATAGACATAAATAAAAAAATTATATGGCATGTACAAGGGTGTAGGACAGAAGAGAATTGACAGATTCTAACACGTGAGTCATCATACGCATGTCATGTACTGCATTCTGTACATGATAAGGCCTGGCGGTGCTCGCGACCGTTTAATAAAAGGATGATATAACAAAATTGGTATGATGAGACATTTTTATGGCAAATATTTATGACAGTTGGCAACATAAAAATCTTGATGTGCATCGCATGAACGGCATTGCATACATACCGCACGAGAGTGCGCTAATGACCGTTTTTAGCTGGCTTTTAATACATCATATTTATCAGGTAACGTAACTGCATGGTGAATATAAACTTCAGGTGGTAGCATGAAAATAAATGAAAACCATGACATGCATGTCATCTGCCACACGGCTTACATCGGGCACCCATGCTGTGCTCGTGATCAATCCACTAGCATGACATGTACAAAATATGATGTTTCATGTCGTGATGGTGCGATAAATATGAATGATAAGGTGCAACATAAATGTCACGAGACGCATGTATTGTACGGCAAGAATTAGATGTCATGCTCATGGCACGCTCGCGGCCGATTTATAAGCTTTATCTTACATGTAAAATTGTACAGCTCGAAAAGACTGTATGACGAACACAAGTTACAGATGGTATCATGAAAGTCACGACCTGCATGAGATATACAATGCAACTTAATCAACAAGAAATGTAATCTAGTACTGAAGCCTTCAATAGGTTGGATTACAGATGCTTACCAAATCACCGCGCAAACTCTGCACAGTTCATTTTGCCGCACCTGCTGTTCGATATTGACGGTGAAGTTCCTTGGATGTTTGCCCGTCGTAATCAGTTCATATGCTGCATCGTCTATGTGTAAACTTTGATTAATTACTGCGCCCCCAGAATATGGGTTACAGAGGGCCACCAGAAACCTCCGGCGTGGAAAGTTTGGGTTGTGTACCTCTCCTCGCTAGAGCAAAAGCTAATTGTCGCGCTCTTGCAGCGGCCGTGGCCGTTTCGCTGTCTTGATAAGTACCAGAATACGTAATGCGTACTGTTAGTGTATGACGAATATAAATGACAGGTGCTAGCATGATGTTGATGAAATTAATTTATTGTACATCATTCAGACGTCTTGCTCTTTATGAGTTCGCGTTCATTTCCCAGGCTTAATATGCACGAAGATTGGTAATGTGTGAAGTAATTGCGTGACAAACAGAAACCACAGGTGGGAATAGGAACATCATGAAATGCTTGTCATGCTCGAGATCAGTGACTCGACTCGCTAATGGTGTGCTCTAGGTCCACCTCGGCGGATCAGTGGCTAGGGTGCAGATCTACTGACCCTAAGGTAGTGGCTCCGATCCCGGCCGCGGTGGGTGCACTTCGATGGAGGCGAAATGTCACAGACACAAGATGGTGCAAATATCAGAGGCATCAAATACCGCGATCATATCATGGTTAGGAAACGTAAAACCACACATCATATTAGATGGTCTGCTCGAGTCGAGGCTGTTTCAATAGCTTGATATTCACGAAAACTTGTATTGCGTGACGTCACTTTGAACGAACATAAATGACATGTCCTAAAGGAGACATCACGATGTGCATGTCATGTACGAAATAATCTACATGACATTATCTTGGTGCACTTCCAACCCTTTGCCTAACTGTATAAGCACCAAAATCAGTATGGCAGGACAACAGTGCACAACGAAGATAAATGAGAGGTCATGTTGTATGCATATCAAATTAGAGAGCTGCAACAGCAGAAACTTTTTGTGAACAAGTAAATCAGATGTTCAATGAACTTTGCTACTTTTTCTAGCGTCACGTCTTTGCATGAGCCACCTTACTCCGCATAGGTTAGCGTTTCAGTACATCCATTCAACCGTATGTTTTTTGCATTTCGGCAAGTGGTATCAGAAATAGCAATATAGCGCACCGTCCTAAATTGTTTCGCGCTGATCAGTAGTCAAAGCCAAAACATGCTCCGGTGGCGTTCTTGTCGCGAGGAGAAGCTCTGCAGAAGGCGTCAGCACACCGTACTCAAGATACGTCGGAATTCGCACATAACCATAGTAGCTATAAGACTGTGCGCAAAGGTCAAAGGTCATCAGCAACGCAAATGTGGTGGAGAAGACAACTTGAGGCTATAAAGAGAACAAACTCATGATAAGCTGTGGATATCACAGGCTGACGCAAAACCACCGTCGTAAAAGTTGAAGTTGAGCTGCTGTCATCCTCGGACTCGAAATTCATTTTCAATCTTTCAAGTGTGGTCAAAAGATAGTTTGGAGTAGCGCGTGTTTTTTCTTGTTTTTTTTTTGCAACGCAGCTGCGCAGTCATGCGCACGTGGCAACGACGCCGTGGGATCGACTAGGGACACTAAATCTGGACCTGCGCTTGTAATATCGATACAAGCGAAACAAAAGCTACTGGAAACTATTTGAGAAGGACACGTCTATATTATATACAGGCGGAAAAGCTTCAGAAATATTTTTTTTTCTAGAATAAATGTTTTCATCTCCTAGCAATAGTTTTCAGTTGAATAGTTGGCATAAGTTTCTGGTAAATAATAATGCTCTTATTTTGATATATAAATCACAAATGTTTTTGCGATAACGAAACTTTGAAGTTTCTGTAGCATACCCACGAGAACACACACGTCTGTCAAGTTCACCAGCCAAGCGAATTTCGCTAACAACACACGCACATTAGTCAGTGTAATGTTCTGTGAAATTTCAGTATATTGCCAAAACAGGCAAGTTCAATTTGATTATAAAAATGGAGTGACCAAAAAAATTACTAGAAAGTGCTTGGTGCACGAGAAATAAACTCAACGTGCCAAAATCGACGATCCGAATCGTCGATCACCGGTGATTTATCTGAATTGTAGTACCAACGAAAGAGTTAAACAAGGCTCTAGAAATGTCGCGCTTATCAGCTTTCACATGAACCTAGATTCGCGTTCCTCGCTGGCCTGGCGTTTTTTTTCTACGGAGAACAAGAATGGCGTGAAACAAAACACGCGAAAAGATAATTTTTTTTCATGTGTGAATTGCTGCTTTCGCATTCAACCCGACTACAAAAACGAAAGGGACACAATGAGTTTTTTTTTCTCTGGATATAAAGTTTGTATTTCTTCCACTTAATTCACAGCAAATTGCCCAAGGGAGCTCCAGTTACGCTGTCGTGTGCCGTGAAGTGCTTTCTGCGAAGCTGCCCCGACAGAAACGGTAGATGAGTAGCACTGCATGCGCCAGCACATACACACCACTCTGAATCTTTCTGTGCAACGGCGCCATCCTGCAAGCACAAAATTATCGCAAATAGTTCATTGCACATGCCAGAAGATGAAGACTTACACACATGGCAAACGCATGCAAGGCGAAATAGAAACACACGTTCATAATATGACAAGATGATAATTTTACCGTCATGTTATACATCATCAAAACTGCATTTTGTGCCCTAATTGCGCAGCAGCTGAAATGTGGCAGCTGCAGCTCTGGCGCTAAGGTGCTACTAACCACTATGCCACCAACGTGTCTGCGAGATTTCAGCGAGCGGTGTCGTACAGCTCGAGCAAGCCCGCCAACCACCACTGCTGTTAGCGAACCTAGAGCAATACAGTGAGCGAACGCGGGGCCTGCCGCAACGAACGGCGCCAATCTGCTTGCGGTCGAGAGACGGGAATCAACGGTAAGCGCAACTAATTTACACAAAGTTACTCGAGCGAGCGTCAGTACAGCGAGTGATTGCGGGGCCTGCCTAAAACACGCGTCATCGTGACATCTCTGCGACGTCGAACTGACGTCAGAAGTTTTGGCTACCTGTTACGTCATTATCTGGTGATGATTGTTAGCCATAGGCGTCAACTATGAGGGGGGGGGGGTCGGTAGGAATGGGGACAGGGGGGTGCAGTGTCAGCCCCCTACATTGCTGCGACGAACCATCACACTCTCCCCTCCTTCCCTGAAGGGAAACCCTGAGCATGCTTATTTCGTTAGCATCACTGACGTGGAAGACCGAGACACCAATATTGGCGGTCACCATTCGCCCTTTGTGAGGCCTCCGATGCTCTTGCCTAAACATACTTGCGTAGAAAACCATAGGACGCAACGCTCGACGCATGCGAAGACTTTAAATGCTGGTGCGCATAGCCTTGTACGTGTGTTTCAGGGAGAGTATTCGCCGCGTGTTCAGACTATAGTTTGCAGCACCATCGCCGCGTTCAGGAAAAATCATCATCATCATCATCAGCCTGACTACGTTCCACTGCAGGACAAAGGCCCTTCCCATGTTTCGCCAGTTAACTCTGTCCTGTGCTTGCTGCTGCCAATTTATACCCGCAAACTTCTTAATCTCATCTGCCCACCTAACCTTCTGTCTCCCCCTAACCCGCTTGCCTTCCCTGGGAATCCAGTCAGTTAGGAAAATAGGCGGATCCAAATGTACGCAGTGGCGCTTAAGTGTGAACGGTTCGGGCCAATTATCGGCAAATAAAGCCCATTGACTGTAGTCTATTGGTAGGACGTAAGCCCTTCATTGCCACAGTAATGCTGCTATTACTTGAGAGAAAAGCGCGAATCAATCAAACAGTGCCTGTCTTTGCCTTTGATAGCTGTCGCATTTTGCATCGTGCTCGGATATTTTGTTGTTTTCATTGCACGTGTTTAACGAGTTCTTTGCTTTGCGCAGCTCACGCAATGGAATATTTACTTTTTGCTCTTCCGGCATATTTACGCAAAATATAAATTTGCGCACACTGACTGTCCATTTGCATGAGTACGTGTACCACTACAGTGATGTGTGACTTGAGGTCTTCTTTACCACTAACCAGCCTTTGCAGGACACTGGTTCAAGGTTTAGGGTATCATAAAGTTTCCGAAGTATACGACTTCACAAGATGGTCTCACAATTATTCTACATCAAGCTCCCATATTTAGTGCTTTTTTACTCATGACGACGCCATATATACTAGCGGTGTGTTCTAACGACAAAGTGGCACCCACATTCAAATGATTTTTGTGCATCGATTGCGCAATGGTTACATTTAGTGCCATAGAAACACTTGCATGCACTGATTTGTTGGGGTGCGTAGAAACATCTGAAGGAGAAATCTTTGTTTCTAGAGCTAGCAGGTTTTTGTACAAGCATTTGATACTGTGCTATCACAACAAATTATGCTGCCCTCAAAGCATGTGCCTGACCTTCGCACGCGTGTATATAAATTTTGGCTACCCGACGGCCCTATAGAAGCAATCTACACTATGGAGTTTTGTCCGCTTGACGCCAGGTGCCGACTCTATTCAACCTCGAGACACATACTTAGATTGCGGTCATCTATTTACTGAAAAATGTTTTGGGAACATTGCCTCTAACAATCAGGATATTCTCAGCTGTATCCAACCCGACTGTGTTTTAAAGACACAGCTTCTTTCGCGTGCTCAGGGTGATGGCACATGGGTGATGGCACATGGAACCCCAAAACAGCCGGGATGGTCGCATTCAGATCTCTCATAATAATAATAATAATAAAACAATAATAATAATAATAATAATAATAATAATAATAATATAATAATAATAATAATATAATAATAATAATAATAATAATAATAATAATAATAATAATCTAAAGAGTTTACGTCCGAAGACCACTATATTAGTCGCATTCAGCCTGAAGCGGAAAGCCAGCAGCCCATGAACCTTCAATGCATGTTCAAGAACACCTGAATGTTTCATTTACCGAAAAGCTCCACTACGGCGTCTATACTTATAAAATGTATTCGGCACGTAAAATCTGAATTATTATTACTAATATAATGCAACCTAAATGCATAAATGTGCGGAAGGTTACTGTTCAGGGGGAAGAGGGCGTCAAGGTTTCTCGCAGCACTTTTCGCACCATATCATGCAAATTTATGGGACTGATAGTGCGCCCCCCATGACCCCTTTCCCTATAAACTCAATGTATGGGGTGACTGTGCGCCGCCCCCGCTCACCCTATTGCACCCCTTCCCCCATGTGTGTTACCCATGTCTGTTCTCGTCATTCCTAGGTAGATAACAAGTGTCAATCACCAGGTGCACATACCCGCATGCCAGCGACACATAACCGCCCTCGGGTACGTGCCACTGTCTGGCGTCAAGTGTTTGACGAAGTATGTGACGGAATTGTGACAGTATTCGTTTATTGACCAGCGCGTCATATACCTCAGACCATCTTACTCTCCCATAATAATTTTCGTTGATCCCGAGAGCCCTCCCATTTTAACCATATTACCCTCTCCTACGAATTATGGTTGATCACGAGATCTAGCCGTTTATGGCTGAGTGATCATGAGAGTATCTAGCCATAAGGGACATGACAGATAGATAGATAGATAGATAGATAGATTGATAGATAGATAGATAGATAGATAGACGCCAAAAGTGCTTGCAGAACGAAAAGAAATGCTTCGTTCTTAATTTATGTCAGATATATTGCCAAAAAGAGGCTTAATCCTGCGGTTCTCTCACCCCCTAATCGGAATACGCATATCTTTAAACGCTCACGCAGGATTTCCCTATTTTAGTCTGGCGTAACAGCCACATTTTAAATGCGAAGAATTCTTTAGCGAACTTCAACGACTTTGAGTGCATCTATCTATCTATCTATCTATCTATCTATCTATCTATCTATCTATCTATCTATCTATCTATCTATCTATCTATCTATCTATCTATCTATCTATCTATCTATCTATCTATCTATCTATCTATCTATCTATCTATCTATCTATCTATCTATCTATCTATCTATCTATCTATCTATCTATCTATTTATCTATCTATCTATCTATCTATCTATCTATCTATCTATCTATCTATCTATCTATCTATCTATCTATCTATCTATCTATCTATTCACATAGCCGCCTACGAATTTAACTTTCCCTTGGCCTTTCCGCTTATGGTATCGATACCAAAATTTGTATGACATAACAAGTCTGTATGAAGAACAGAACTGAAAACTCATAACATGAAAATTATTACATGTATGTTATAAATGTCATAATTTACATTTCATGGTCTAGCTGCTCTTGCGGTGGTTTTGTTCACATTACATATTTTAAAACTGGTGAGGTGCAGCATGCTGCATGGTGGACAAAGTGACAGACCCTAACGTAGAAATCATAACATGAATGTCATGTGCGTCATGTCTTCAATGTCACGTTCATGGTGCGCTCGTGGTTGTTTCCCTTGCTTCACATATACCTAATTTGCTATTACGGGACGTGATTGAATGTAAAGGTGTGTGACTGGTGCAACCATAATATTCATGAGATGCGAGTCAAGTAAGAACATGATATACCACGTTCGTGAGGCGCTCGCTGATGTTTTGCGACCTTCACCACTACTGAATTTGATATTACGAGACGCAAACGGACAACGAAGGTAAATGACACGTCTAAACATAATACTCATGGCATGCGTGTCATGTAAAACATGACTACATGCTACAATTATAGTGGAATCGTGGTCGTTTCGCTTGCTTCATATTTACCAAATTTGGTGTTACGTGACGTCGATGGCTCACGAAGCTGTACGTCTAGCGCAAACATGACAACCATGATATGCGTCTCATGTCCTTCACGAGACATGAGACACGTATCATGTCTGAAAAGGAAACAGTTACGTCTGTTTCCTTTTGCCTGAACACGGTGCCATGTAACTGTTTTTGACTCATGCCAAGTAAAGAGTATTATTATTTTGTAGAAACCTGACAACATACCACGCCTATGAGGTACTCGCGGACGTTTCACTAGCTTCACATATACCAAATTTGGTATTGTGATATGTGAATGAACGGCTACGCTAAATTACACGTGTAAACATAAACATCATGTTTAGACAAGTTTAGACGAGCCATGCTTGACATATCCAGAGCGAAAGATAGATGTGTGTTTAGGGCCTCCCCTTTCAGCCGAGGACCCAGACAGTGTCAGCTAGTGCTGATTGATATGTGGGGTTTAACGTCCCAAATCCAACCATATGATAGTGAGAGACACCGTAATGAAGAGCTCTGGAAATTTCGACTACCTAGTGTTTTTTTAACGTGCACCTGAATCTGAGCACACGGGCCTACAACATTTTAGCCTCCATCGAAAATGCAGCCACTGCAGGAAGCAGCGATTATAAACTGGGTCTTCCCTGCATATCTCGACAGTCTACGGATTGTTCCCGCGAACTTGTAGTTGTGAGTAGTGTTTTGGTAACATTTATGGTTCTTCCCGGTTCTGGCTTTTCTGTTACAGAATTCAGGTGGTTGCCGTAGAGCATGACACGGTGAGAACTTAAGGCTCATTACATTCGAGCAAGTCTCTAAAGAGAATTGAGCAATTTATGTTTCGTCCAGCTCGCGTAGTGAAACGTGATCTCGCAATTTCGGACACAAGATTGGAGATGTCGTGCAGATAGACTTTATTTTCTCATTGCATTCTGATGGAAGTAGATGCTCATAACTTGTGCTCTGGATGTTCAAATAAGTTACAACTTGCAGGTTTCTGTAAAAAGAAAACAAAACATTTGCGTTAGGCACCACCCCGACAACTACAAAATCATGTCAAAACTCTAAGATTTTTTTTCAAAGAAGGATAACGATGTCTGCTGCCGTTCTGAGTGAGCACATGTTAGTTTAAATGCTATCAACTTATCGATTGTGCAAGAAAAAAGATTGGCCTTGGAGGTGAAAATAAAATTAAAGATATATGAAAATCCCTCTAAGTAATGTACAATCTCTATACTCACACTTCCTCTTGCGGAGAAGATCTCCGTAGTGGAAGGGCAGAGCCCAGACCATAGCTGTAGTTCAGACCGTAGCCGAGCAGACCGTGGCCGTAGGCGTAGTCGCCAGTGCCGTAGCCGAGGGTGCCAACACCGTATCCGTAGACTGGGGTGGCGTGGTAGGCAGCGACAGCTGGAGCAGCGTGGACGGCAGTGACGGCTGGGGCGGCGGCGTAGGTGGCGACTGGGGTGGTAACAGCGGCAGCGACCGGGGCGTGGGCTACAGAAGCGAACGCTGGGGTAGCAGCATAAGTGGCAATTGGAGCGTGAGCCACGGTTGTCACAGCTGGGGCATGGTAGGTGGTAGCGACCTTGGTCACAGCAGGGGCAGCAGCGTATGTAGTGACTGGGGCAGCAGCGTAGGTGGCCACTGGAGCGTGAGCCACGGTGGCAACCTTGGTCACAGCTGGAGCAGCGGCATACGTAGCGACTGGGGCAGCAGCATAGGTGGCCACTGGAGCGTGAGCCAAGGTGTCGACCTTGGTGAAAGTTGGAGCGGCAGCGACAACTGGGGCAGCGGAATAGGTTGCGGCCACGCTTGTCACAGCTGGAGCAGTGGCAACAACTGGAGCGGCAGCGTAAGTGACGGCTGGGGCAGTGTGAGTGAAAGTGTGCACAGCTGGAGCATAGGCGGCGTAGCCGAAACCATTGCCATATGCGAGACCGCTGTATCCAAGACCGCCATAGCCGAGACTATAGCCGGTGTAGCCAGCGAGAGCGCTGGTGGCAAGAGCCAAGAGGGACGCAAGCACGGATCTGCAATGATTTATAAAAAACCTTGTCCACTCCGTCTTTCGAAGCTTTCGAAGTTTCGAAGTTTCGAAGTTTCGAAGTTTCGTCTTTCGAAGTTTTCGAAGCTATTACTACGACAATATACTAATATATCGAAGCAGTAATGCTTATACCCTGTGCTATTTGTGTTATTCAGATCTAGCTGAATAGGAAAAAAAATTTCGTGGCTGAAATTCGGTGAACTTCCACGTTTCACGTTCAAGTTATTCGGTTACAACAGGTTACTCGAAAGATATGCTCCAAAAAATTTTCCAACAGGTGATCAGCTTGGCACATTGACCTGCGCGTTGGGGTTCTGGTCTTTTTCTAATGACTTAATAAACACTTTCGCAGAGCCAAGACAAATGTTCAGATTGGTATTTTATATAGGACAGGTAAGCATGAAAGAGAGAGAGAGAAAATTTAATGCGGAAAGGCAGGGAGGTTAACCAGAAAACATATCCGGTTTGCTACCCTGCACTGGGGAAGGGGTAAGGGGTAAGGGAGGAAGAGAAGCACAAACACACACACACACACTCGCACACAGTAGTGTCATAATCGTTCAACGAGGCGGGTCGCTCGCAGAAACTTCATCAGCGCCTTCGTTGCTTTCTGGCGTGAAGCTCGATCTTTCCGACATTCCAAGATTGACTGCTCAGAGAATGGCTGGTCGTCGAGGCGAGCAAACACTGCTGAGAGGGACTGTCGCTGAGAGCTGTACTGGGGGCACTGACGTAAAATATGTTCAATTGTTTCGTCATTGTCGCAATGGTCGCATGTAGCGCTGTCTCTCATTCCGATGCGGCAGGCAAAAGCGTTCGTGAAAGACACCCCAAGCCACATACGGCAGAGAAGGGTCGTCTCGGATCGGGGTAGGCCAGATGGAATAGTAAGTCGTAGGCATGGGTCCAGGTGGTGAAGACGGGTGTGGAGAAAACCGGGCGTATTCCGCATAGACCTTGCGACATCCTGCGCAAGCGTATTAATCTTTGCTGCTGCGTCGCTTCTTGATAGTGGAATAGGTTCCATCACTCCATTTTCGTGAGCATTCTTAGCTGCATTGTCGGCATGCTCGTTACCGATGATGCCGCAATGGCCTGGTAACCACTGAAAAGATATGTCATGTCCTTCGTCTATTAGGTGATGGTACAGTTGTCGTATTTCGAGCGCCAATTGGTCTTGAGGTCCACGACGTAGAGCATTGTGTAGACATTGGAGAGCTGGTTTCGAATCAGTAAAAATGCTCCATTTTTGTGGTGTCTCTTGGTCAATCCTGCGGAGTGCGCTGCGGAGTGCCGCGAGCTCCACGGCTGTCGATGTCGTCTTGTGTGACGTTCTGAACTGGATGGTTTCGGCTCTTGCTGGGAAGATCACAGCTCCTGCAGATCCTCCAACAGTTGTCGAGCCATCCGTGTAAAGTTTGACATGATCTTTGTATTCTTCGTGTAGCATGAGTAGAATCATCTGCTTTAAAGCTGGCGCCGAGAGCTCCGCCTTCTTGCGAATCCCCGGCACTGTCAAGCGCAGTTTTGGTCGGTCCAAGCACCAAGGAGGTGTTAGTATCCGTTCCGGAGGCGTGTAGACTGTTGGAAGACACTCACGGAAAGTCAATACTCTCTTACAGAAGGAGGCACTCGGTCGATCTTCTGGAAGCGAAGCTAGGTGGTGGGCAGGGGCGCGAGCAAGGTGTCTAATATGAGCTCTAAGCACCTCCAAAGTAATGTGCACTGTGGCCGGATGATCTTTGGCGATTGCGATGGTTTCCGCTGTTGATGTACAGCGTGGTAATCCAAGACAAACTCTGAGTGCCTGGCCCTGGGCGTTTTCTATTGTGCGTATACTGCTTTTGCAAGCGTTCGTCAGAACCGGCAAGCTGTACCGCAGGTACCCCAGAAACAGCGTTTTGTACAAATGCAACATCGCGTGCACTGATGTGCCCCACGTTTTGCCTCCGAGGAACTTCAAAAGTTGTGCGATGGCCGTTAGGCGCTTCTTTAGAGTGGCCACATGGGGACTCCAGCAGAGATTTCGATCGATCGTGACCCCCAAAAACCTGTGGGTCCTGGCGTAGCAGACACTGTGTCCATCGATGGCGATGGGATATGACGTCATTACCTTCCGCGTGAACGCGACCAGCGCCGATTTTTCAGGAGAAATCTCGAGGCCTTGTTCTCTAAGGTACGCCGATATTGAATTCGCTGCTTTCTGGAGTCTCGCACGTACCTGAGGACGTGTTACACCTGATGTCCAGGCACAAATATCATCTGCATAGAGAGATATCTGCACGGAATCTGGTATGCGTTCAACGAGACCGATCAGAACCAGGTTGAACAGTGTGGGGCTCAATACACCACCTTGAGGAACACCACGGTGTGTATAATGTTCAGAAGTCGGCCCATCATCAGTTTGCATAAACAATGATCTCATATGTAGGTAGCATTGGATCCAGCGGTACACTCGCCCACCCAAACCAACTGACTCGAGGGCGTCAAGTATGGCTTCGTGAGAAACATTGTCATATGCTCCTTTGACGTCTAAAAATAGTGCGACAGATAACCGTCTGCTCATTTTCTGGTGTTGTACGTAGGTCACCAGGTCAATGACATTGTCAATGGAGCTCCGAAGACGACGAAAACCGGCCATGGCGTCTGGATATATTCTATGGCGTTCTAGGAACCACTCGAGTCTGGCAAGGATCATTCGCTCCATCAGCTTCCCTACGCAACTAGCCAGCGCTATTGGGCGGTATGATGTCAGCTCTAGAGGCGATTTCCAGGTTTGAGAAGTGCAACCAACCGGCTTGTTTTCCACTCTCTGGGGACCGTTCCATCTCTCCAAGACTCATTGAATACTTCCAGCAAAGCACTTCGTGCTCGATCACCGAGATTGCATAATAGGCGGTATGATATGCCATCCGGCCCAGGCGATGACGATCGATTGCATGAAGCAAGAGCCACATTCAGTTCTTCCATTGAAAAAGGCAGGTCCAGGTGCGTCTCAAGTGAATGTGGCGTGTAATCAGCAGTAAGGGCTTCTGTGCAATTTGGCGGGCCCGCAATCTTCCTACAAAAATCTTCCGCTACCTCGATATCCCTTCTATTTTGGAAAAGGGCCAAGGCTTTAAACGGAAAACGTTGTTGGGGAAATATGCGTAGGCCTCGCACGGTTCGCCATATTTGAGAAAGCGGTTTGCGAGGGTCTAGACTCGCGCAAAATTTCGCCCACCGTTGAAACTCCAGTTTGTCTATACGACGCTGGATCTTCTTTTGCATGCGCCTGGCCATCCGTAGATCTTGAATGGATTTTGTGCGTCGATATCTACGCTCCGCACGGCGACGAGTCGCACGGAGTCGCTCTAGCTCCACGTCCGTTTCTGAGGTCCTTGAAGAATATGCCAGCGTGCGCATCGCACTCTGCGCTGCTTGTTTGATCGCTTGCTCAATGCCAGAGGTTAAGCCTTTTTCACAAGCGTGTTCAATGTTGGTTGTGAATGCTGAAAGATCGATCCTCCGTACGGTTTTCGGCGGGCGGTCGCTAGCAAAGCCTTCGATGGTGAGATAACTGGGGATGTGATCGCTACCATGTGTCTCGATGTCTAAAAACCACTTAACGCTTGTGGCGAAGCGACGTGATACGAACGTCAAGTCCAAACAGCTGCTGTACGTTGATCCTCGCAGAAATGTAGGGCTCCCATCATTAAGTAGAGGCAGTTCATGAGTAGATACAAATGAAGCCAGCCTCCGGCCCGTGGTATTGACTTTTGAACTTCCCCAGATTGGGTGGTGGGCGTTGAAGTCCCCTATAATTATCCACGGATCCGGGACGCTCGAAAGAATGTCATCCAGTCTTTGGCAATCAAAACGGGCTGAGGGAGATAAGTAGACACCTATTAATGTGAAGGTGAGGGTTTTCTGCTTCACAGTCAGGCAAACATATTGGTTCTCATCATGAGGCGACACAGGTTGAATGATGTAGGTAAGCTCCCGACGAATATACACAATGACCTTGCTGCTTTCGTTTCGGGTTTTGGACGGGATTGATTCGTAGCCGGATAGTCTGATCGGGTTTGATAATTTCGGTTCACATATTACGATGATTGGGAAACGGTTAGAAAACACGTACTGACGAAAATCGGAAATCCGTGATCTAAGTCCTCTTGCGTTCCACTGGATGACTGATGCTTCTCTGACGTCTTTGCGGAACGATTGTTGATCTCCTGCCATGACTCTACGCGAGGGAGGCGAGGACTGGGCTCAGCGCGTCCAACACCTGTAACCCGCTTCGAGCGGTTGGAGTTCCCAGGCTTCTTAGTATGTCTGCCATGACAGCGACGAGGGATCGTAACATCGGGATGATCTGTCGATCGACCCTTGACACATCCTCAACGGAAGTAGACTCGGTGGAAGGTGTAGGGCGGCGAGGCCTCGCAGGAGGCTCCTTTGCAGGCTGCGTACGCGGAAGCGTAGGCCACTCATCCGCAGCTGTGAGCTTCTCCACTTCATTTCGCTTCGTGCTTACTACTTCACTCGTGCTCGGAGGAAATGGGTTATGTGCAACACTCTGTCCTACACGCCTCCGTCGGCAACTACGTCGCCGCCGTACCCTTTCAGCAGCCTCACTGTGGGTTGAATTGTCCCTAACCATTTGTTTGATAATGGCGATTTCCTTCTTAATCCGAGGGCATTCCTTGGATGCAGCATCATGCGGACCATCACAGTTTCTGCACTTCAGACTTGTTGCCCGACATGCGTCTGCAGTGTGCGGCTCAGCGCATCGGGGGCATACTGTGGTGTTTGTACATACACTCTTGATGTGCCCAATTTTCATGCAGTTATGGCACTGGAGTGGTTTAGGGACAAATGGTCGAACAGGATGTCGGAAGTGTCCCACTTTGACATGCGATGGAATGGAATCTCCTTTGAACATTATCTTTACACAACGGGTGTTTCCGAGGCGAAGTACGTTCGCGATGAGAACACCTTCGTTCGCTGGTTTTATGAGAGTTGGGAGGTCCGAGTTTGCTATGGCCAAATCAATGTCGTAGATTACTCCCGCCATGCAGGCACCGTCCATTGGAATAACCGGTCGAACTTTGATGCCTCCCAAATCTAATACTCTGCGAAGCTTGTCTATGGCGCTGGCAGTCATTGTGTCCACAGCTAGAATATTCTTCCGCGTGTTCACCCGGATATCCTTAATGTCGTTTGGTGCTACCCCCTCAAAGTACATAGAGAGAGCTTGCCTGTTTACTGCTCGAAGGCTGATGGTGGAGTCCTCGGGCCTCTTCATAGAACGATTCTGCTGTCGGCTCCGAGCATTGTTATCAAGTTTTGCGCTTTTTACGGGAGACGCTGCTCCCTGCCCCAAGGCGACGGACGCGGAGTCATCCACTGGTCCGCCCAGCCAGAGGTCTGCTATGGCGAGCTCCTCGGTAAATCAGCGCGCCTGGCCCAGAACCAGTGAGGCCAACGGTGATAGTCACTGCATCATGGCTGTGGACGTGGAGCCTTCTGCGGCTCTGTCCGACCATAGACCACCTTTGGCAAGCTCGTCGCGGAAACGAAGCACCTGTTCGAGCACCAGCGAGGACACGG